AAAACTGGAAGGGCCTGATATTCTATTGATGCTTTTGAATATATTTACCATTTCACTAACGCCTTTCAGTTTTCCAGACCAAAGAAAAACTTCCTTTATCATTCCAAGTCACAAAGACGACACAAAACGGAAGACTGGCAGTTACAGGCCAATCCATCACATTCCGATAATTGCCAGATTATTCGAAAAATTGATTAGAATGATGACGAATTTCATAAACTCACGGCTGCTGATAGACAAGTCCCAACATAGTTTCCTTGACAAAATTTCGTGTACAACCTGCCAGCTTCATTAGTCGAACTACATACCAGACTGAATTGAACGCAAATATGTAATCTTAATTCTATTCTTGGACACGCAAAATGCGTTTGATCGTGTGCCTTGCAAACGGTTACTGATAAAGATACCTTCCTCCTTTGGATTCCAGAATCCACCATTCGGTTGGCAATCCTCATATCTGAACGGTTGCTCTCAGTCACCTTAAGACAAAAATCGCTCTTCTGCGCATCCAGTCACCAGCAGGGTTATACAAGGAAGTGTGCGTTATATCAACGACATCAGTTTGGCGATTAAACATGACGCGACATTCTTAGCTGCTGATGATACAAACTTAGTAACAAGTTCCGATGGGTTGCTCTTTATATGTGCACCACCCATTCACGATAGTTCTCATTCCCTTAAGACATGTTGTGACAGGTGGACGTTGAAGTTCTCAGCATTTAAGTCAAGTATTGTGTGTCGCGATTTTTTGGTACGCGAACGATATATTACATGTAAGAGTGTACAACGGTCTGCACGCGACATTGCAATCAGAAATCCTTGTACTTTTAACTTTTCTGAACAGAGTGAATAGCAGATAGCACGAGCCAGAAAAAGCCTGGTTACTATCTCTCATAAGATGCACAAAATCGCAGCCAGAGTTGAAGTTTGTAAATACCTCACTCGTCCCATCCTGAGGTATTGCAACATAATATGTGGCAACATGAGGAAATTTGACAGAACAGCGATAGCAAGCTTGTAACAGCCATGCACTAAGCACCTCTTAAGTAATAGTCTACCAAGAACTATCGGGAGCGATGCCGGCAACTCCAACTCGATCCACTTTGGCTGCTAATACTAAATCATGAGTTGATACTGTTGTATAATCTGATTAAAAACAATGTCGGTTGCAATCTATCCCCCTAAGGTCGCAGCGGTGTTGCACGCAGGATCAACGCAACCAAGACTTTACCCTGATTATAACATGATGTGGGACAAATTTGCGGTCCAAGTTCTTTCTCATCAGGTTTGCTTCTCTGTGAAAAAGATTTTTAATCCTAGAGATACTTCCTAATAATTTATTCCTAAGACCGTAGCCCCGCTTTTAGTTGTGGTGCAGTTCCTCTATACCTACACACTAAGAATTGGATAAATATCGCACACTTTCATAATCACCCTGTCGTTGGCTTCTTCTTCTTCAAGACTAAGAGCAGCTGAATAAGTCCTAAATAATGAATAGGCGCTTTTTTCTTCGCCTACTTATCCGTTTAATTCTAGTTTTTCAACATTAACTTTACCGTGCATAGTCACGCAGGTCCTGAAGGCTGAAAGGGATGCAACTGAGCTTACCCAGCATCGCAATCATTTGGCAACCCACAACACAACTTGATTAGTTCAACTCCATAATTAGACCAAGGAATATCTAGACACTACGTTATGCTTTAAATCTCTACGCGGTGAATACTGCCTATATTATTCTGATAAAGCAACTTGAGTTTGATGATCCACTGGAGTTACTTTACTATAGTCTTTTCCTTCCTTTCGCAGCTCTCTAACTTTCTACTGGCAACTAGCACCAACTACATTATTACAGTCCATTAAGTAAGACTGTGTATTACTCATCTGGTTTTGATTAATGAACCTAACTGTTATCTCCTTTTAATAATCTCTCCCCCGTCAAACCGCCGCCATGATACCACCACCAACCTGCACCGAAAACAACCAAATGAATGCCCGGGAACTAGTGGCATACGGTGACGAAAATCCCCAATGAAAATATTCTCAAAAATATCCTTATTGTAACCCTGTAATAAGCCAAACAATTGATAGCTTCGCATGCCTGAACATGTTTCAATGTAAATATGATCCGTCCCTTTGTGATCTCGGTTTCTCGGTACCAAGAGAAATATACCTTATGATTATTATCAAATATTGTGAGACTCTGCAATCCTTTCGCTGTAAGCTGGGTAACTATTTCGACTTGGGAATCATGCTCGGCGGAGCATCGTACTTCTGTTCAAAACATTCACTGCAAAAGGATCAAACAACGCCCTTTACCAAATACCAACAAAGTTGTTATTAGCTTATGGCTCCATAAGGTTTTGCAATCCCACAGTGAGTGATCGTGTAGCCTTAGAGAGAATGCATTGGTCTTTAACTAAACTTCTTACTGGCTATTCTTCTACAGTATCATATTTGGAGATATGTATTGCTTTTCAACTTGATCTATTATGGTTGTACCTGATGAGACTTAACCTGTTCATCTTTTCTGATGCCCTACCAGAAAAATAGATGCACAAAACCCGGTTCTGCAACTAAAAGTACCGGTATTTTATTACACTTGAAAAACAACCGCTAACACAAAGCAAGAGCGAAAGGATCACGAACTAGGTCGTAGAATAACTATTTCCCCAACCGTTAATCAATAGCATGAACAGGTTTCCAAATGATATACATGAATTTCTAGCATGGAGAAAATTTCGAAAGACATTCCTTTCATTGCTTAGCGCTGAAATGGCTATTAGTATGCTGAGACCAAATATGACCAATACTTATCCTAATGAAACTGGTGTGAGATGGATTTGATTTAACTACACCGTATCCTGTTGTTCGCCTGACTCTATCGATTTAGTCAAGGTTAACAGAGGCATTAATTTACTACTTTAACTACTGCGAATTTTCCGCCTACCGTGACATCTGAGCTTACCAAGGCAGAAACTTGGTGCAGTTTTTCTACTTTGTTTCGTTGCCTTCGTTCCACACTGCTAATTATCTTCTATTCCTTCCTAAAGGTCACACACGAGTGTTACGTTGTAGTTTCCAATACGCTTTAGTCCGCAAACTTCACTTCTATCACAACTTCTGTTCTTTTCTTCTGGCTTCACTAGATGGAACCAACTAAAAATCGTTCGGGAGTTTCACTGTTCATAAATACTTCGAACGCACTACTGAACGCAGACGTTTATTCATTTATCTACTCGCCATCTTCGATTGATTGTACAAACGGACACAGAAAACAGCCAGACCATATCTCATTCAAGAGAGATATATAACATTTACTCAGTATGCTTTTCATTCTATTCCATTATTTGTTTTTTCTTTCCGTTGTTAGTCACAATTGTGCTCAGCTCTTGAGATGATGAATTGAAACTTCTATGATAACCAATTATACCCAAGCAAGTCGAATTGTCACAAACCCATCGATGGGCAAAATTGTGGTAAACTCAAAAAACGGGTCTACATGTTCACAGCTTATTACATATAACAGCGACCGTAAAAAATGGTTCATGATGATGGTCTGTTGCTTACAACAGCAGCCAAAAATCCCAGTCAAGTCAATGGTGGCTCACTTGCCCTAATTCCGCAATAGCACATGGCCAGATGATGCGCGGAAATGTGGACGGAACATTTCAATTGACTACTCAGCATGGAAGCAGGTTCCCAGGAAACGATTCGACAGATGGTCGTGGAACTTTACTTGAACTGCTTCTATGTCTGCATTGATTCTCATGATCTACTTTCGGCAAACATTATTACTTTTAACATATTGAACACCGCTTAATGGCTCCGTAACCTACATTGCAAAATTCAAGAATTTTTCTCCGCCATCCGCAATCGGCCTGTGTTTCACACCATGAAGAAATATATAATTGATTTACTTGCGTCCGTTTGTTCGTGGGGAAAATTAATTCAGAGTCTATTTAACGAAAGCCCAGATAACGTCTACTGGGGATAATCTCACAAATTACACGGTATAATTAGCCCTCAGTGTCTAGGACATATTCAAACTACAAAAGTGCCTCCTACCTTCGAATAAAACACAACCATATGGGACACATGTTGCCAGAAACAAACAAATATAAGAGTGTATCTTTATTTTGCTCATGCAAGGGTATAACATTACCTGTACATATATGACCTGTACCAAGGTATGGACACAGATACTCATTTAATGAGAAGTATACCTATTATTATTATTATCATTATTATTAGTATTATTATACCAACCGTTGGTTAAAAGTACTCATGACTTCGCGACCGGTTCCAGGTATGTACCAATATTTCGAAATATGACAGTTCTAATGCTACTTATCGGAGATTCTACCACTGTAACATGGCGGCTCTATGGCATACTAGAAGCGCTAACGGGAGCAAGCATCATCCACCTAATTTGAGGCGAAATGACTTCTGTTACATACTTCATTTGGATTTTTTCGGAATATATGAAGCGTCGGTCTCAAGTATGGCTCCAATGGTTATGTAGCCGTGAATCCTATTTTCACAAAGTGGTATCTCGCGAGTGGTTCATTAACATTACACAGCTCTCACTTGGAATGGTTTTAGGAGGAACAAATCCTTCAGTAATTCCTTGCGCAATTCACAAGTTTAAAATACCTCGTGCCGGTAAACAAAACGATTTAATACCTTTTTAATGCGACGATTATTTTTGGTTGTTGTCTATTCGCGACTTTTACCGAAAAAATGTAATGTCTGTTTGGAAACTTCTACTACATGTGACCAGACGGGATCTTGGAACAATTTTCTTATGGTCGCCAGCCGAACGCTGGCACCCAGAGGTCTGCTAGGCTGCTTTCGCAAAAAAGGTCGGGACTTTGCATAGAATAAGTACTTGAAGGCTTTATAACTTTAGCTAATTCACACAAAGCTCACATTGATTCTCTACTAATAAAAAGTGAATAGAAATGCTGCTGACGAATTCAAAAAAGAAGTGCAATGACCACCTGAGTTAGTTTCAGCAGCCGGGAGGCCTCATGCAGGTTCTTCGTTCCATTTGCTTCCGGTATTCTTTTGAGGCTGTTTTCACTCGCGCGCAACTCATTCACAGCCTGTTCAAACATGATATCCCACTCAGTCAACCGGCTGACAGCACTGTTGATCGCGGTTTCGGCATTCTGTAAATGCGTTGCGTAAATGGGCGGAACAATGAAACAATTGCTTATTACGGACAAGAAAAGCGAATGCTTAACAAGTCCCGTAGGATGACCAGAAAGAGAACCGCCGAAAGGTGAAAAGAAAACAGAGACAAAATAATAATCGTTTTGGTGAACTCGCCAGTGTGTGCACACAGGCATGCGAAAAAGAGCTAATCTTGATATTGTGGGTTAATGCTGGTTGTGCAACTTTCGTCACATTAGATAGTCTGTTGAATTCCACTGGTGAATTAGGGTAATGTCAAGGTGTTCTTTAAACACTGGTAAAGAGGGGCGGAAACAACGTAATTTGGGAGGGCGTTCCATGGATGGCAGACACGGTGACACTAACAGTTTCGCCGACGTTCTAGCCCATTGTATTGCTCGGGCAACTTGAGCTCATGCCCCTCAAATTGTTGTTGTCTTTGAGCTGGGGTAGGCGGCGAAGACTTGGATGGGGTTCCTCAAGATCTGGTAGGCCATTATTGGATCGCCACGTAGGAGCCGATAACGACTGCTGTATAATCTTAGAGTCACCAGCCTAAGTTTACATGGAAGGTGCAACAACCCTTTGACGTGCTTGGTGGCTCTGCGCAGTAGACTCGAGCGCTGCGAAATCTTGCTTGGGCCAGGGTCTCCATGGTTGGCTTGCTAATTTCACGTGACGCTGCACATGTGTGTTAAGTAAGTGCGGACAGATAGGTGGATCAAACCGCCCGACGTCTTGGTTCCCAGTCTCTGAAGTCTTATCAGATTGTTATGAGCAGCCCAGATCAGCCATCAGTCTAATACCCCAAGGTCGCACACCTAGGTAATTGGTTGCAGGTTATGGTCTCTAA